AAAAAAAAAAAAGAAAAGGTCCATTCTTGAGTTAAGGTGTATGAATACAGTAGTTGCACTATTTTGCCATATCATACTTAGTGATGTTGGTTGCTTATTTTGAAAATTGATCAAAGGTATTGAGATATATGATATAGCCAATTAATATTGCCATACTGATTCTGTTACATTAGTTCAAAGAGTTTATAAAAGGTAACAAATAGGGATTTGCATACTTTATTGTTTCATTCATGTTTGTTCCTTTTCTGTTCCCCAGGTATTCTGCCTTAAAAATTTACAAGTACTGAAACTGAGAAATAATCCTATCAAAACAATTCCTTCTGAAGTTCAGCAGCTGAAGTACCTTAGAATTTTTGAGATGTCCTTTAATTTGGTTTCTGTTCTTCCACCTGGGTAAGGTTGATGCCCTGAGTTGTAAACACAAAATATAGAAAGTTTACAATTTAGAAAAAGAAAATTTTTCCTTTTGAAAGGAGCTAGCAGCTTTTGCAATATTTAATAATTCTTATTTTGTTCTAATTAGCTGATTTATTTCTTATTATGGTATTTAAAAACAATCCTATTAGCTATATAGGTGGCAATTAATATGGCTCTAATAGATGTACATTTAGGGATCTATTGTCTGAGCATGAATTAAATTAACAGAAATCATTTAAAGCAGTTCAGATGAGAACTTTGCACCTATACATTTATAGCCTTTTTTGATAGAGAAAGAGCACTGACCTTGAAATTAGGAAATCTAGACCTTTGACTTTGAAGTTGATGCTAATTATCTTTTTGATCTAGAAAAAGCAATTTAACCATTCTTGGCCTCAATTTCTTCATCTGTAAATGAAGGAAGTTGGCTTATATGATATCTAAGATCCTTTTACTCAGTAGAAATACTGATATTTGGACTTTTATGTGTGGACAGGTAATTATTTTACTCCTAACTTCTACTTCTACTTCTTTTACTCCTTACTTTAACTCCTCAGTAGAAATACTGATATTTGGACTTTTATTTGTGGACAGGTAATTATTTTACTCCTAACTTCTAAACCAAAACCTTAAACAAATGCCAAAACAAGATTCTTTTCCAATTAGAGTTTAACAGATTAAATATAAGTTAAGAGAAACAGGATGGGGACTCATAGTTGAACAACATTTTGCAAAAGAAGATTCAACAGTAATTAAGAAAATTCATTAAAATTCATTTATAAAGATGTTTATTATTTATAATTAATGATTCAATAGATTGAATGTTCATGTGGTATGCATTCAGTTATTGTAAAGAATAAAACCTTATGTAAAAAATTATACCATTTTTGTACAAAGATATGTACCTATCAATATCATATACATCAAAAGAACAAATAAGTACTAAAGAAGTAAGAATCTTACATTATAGGTATTTTATTTCCTTTTCACTCATCTTTATTTTTCCACACTAATATAAATTATATTTTCCTTGCCCTGATACTATTGTCAGCCATTTTTCTAAGGAAACTCTGTTTTGTCATTGTTTTTTTAAATTGGAAAATAGTCTTTAAAAAACAAGATCTGAGGGCAGTGCCTATGGCTCAAAAGGGTAGAGTGCTGGTCCCATATGCTGGAGGTGGCGGGTTCAAACCCAGCCCTGGCCAAAAAAAAAAAAAAGATCTGGGTGCTAGACATCCTCATCACTGAGATGTCATTGCTTCTAGGTGCTCTTAGTAGAAACGGCTAAGTAATGTATGTATACTAATTTGTGTGTACATATAATTGATTTATTATGGTCTCTGTGCAGTCAAATCTCTCTGTTGATGATAATCTGTATTTGTGGCATTCCACAACACTAGCTTCACTGCCTCAAATCCACCTGAGTATTATATTCTCATAAAGAGCACACAACCTAGATCCTTCACATGCGTGGTTTACAGTAGGGGTCGTGCTCCTATGAGAATCTAATGTCACCACTGATCTGACAAGAGGTAGAGCTCAGGTGGGGATGTGAGTAAGGTGACCAGACATCCCGCTTTTGAACAATTTGTCCCATGTCCCACAGCGTTTTTAAAAAGTCCCGATTTTTGGAAAGAATGAGCAACAATCTAGGGAAGGGCGGGGCAACGGGAAGGAATATACGGTTTTCAGCTGCTGAAAAGGTTAATGTAACTCCATTTGGGAATGAAGAGGTTAATGTAACTTCATTTGGAAATGAAAAGGCTACTGTAAACTTCCTACTCCCCCCTCATGGGCAAGGTCGCCCAGGTGGACGGTGCCCTGCTCCTTTGAGCCACAGGCGCCACCCTATACATAATTATTTTTTAATGTATTATATTTGTAAATTGTACTTATGTTGAAATTTAAAATAAATATTACAATACCATTTTTGCATTCTATGAAAATTTTTGTTGCTCCATATAGACCAAATTTTTAATCAAGAACACATGCCTCCTCTGCCCTACCTCTGAGCAATGGTGTCCCGCTTTACCAATGTTAAAAATCTGGTCACCTTAGATGTGAGCGATGGAGAGCAGCTGAAAATATAGCTGAAGCTTTGCTTACTCATCTCCTGTTGTGCAACCTGCTTCCTAAAAGGCCATGGACCAGTACTGGTCTGGGGCCTCAGGGTTGGGGACCACAGGTATAAAATAAGATAATGGAAATGCACATTGTAACATTTGCAGGTTCCAAAGAGTGGCATGTAACACATTCTGGAGAGTCAGAGATTGTTCCCTCCAAGAGATGCTATTTGATCCCAGCAACTGCGTATGAATTAGCTAGGTTAAAAGGGAGAGAGAGCAAAGGATAGTAGGAACAATCATGGGGTAGATATTACTTCAAAAAATAGAGTAGCAACATACATGGGAAAAAGAGGAATGTGAAGCAGCTTATATAATGCGGAGTGAGAAGTATAGCAGTTGGCTGTTTTTGAATCTTAAAAGGGAAGACCACTTGGTAAGAAGTGAGCCTTATGTGGTAAGAAGGACCTAGATTATCTGGGGACCTTGCGAACTAAGGTAAAGAATTTATACTTTATTCTGTATGCAATAAAAAAAAAAATTAAAGAGTTCTCCATCTGGGAGTGGTGGAGACGGACTTAGATCAAGCTAGTGGCAGTACGGAGGATGGATGTGAGGAGATAAAACAGAACTCCAAGTGACCAGTTGGGAGGCTTTTGTGGTAGTTTTGTCAAAAGATGAAGAGAACTCAGACCAGGGCAATAGGTGATGAGTGGTCACAGAGAAGAAGGAACGAACTGTTAAGAAATTAAAATAAAGGGTGGCACCTGTGGCTCAAGGAGTAGAGCGCTGGCCCCATATACCAGAGGTGGTGGGTTCAAACCCGGCCCTGGCCCCAAAAAAAAAAAAAAAATTAAAGTAAAAATATCTGCAAGATCTGGTATTGATGACTGATGAGGCCTAGAGGCTGTAAGGAACAGAAGAGTCAAGGGAAAAAAAGAAAAGTCAAGGAGCCTCTGGGATTTCTAGTTAAAGTGAAATAAGTCATTCATGTAAAATATTGTATATTTATTATCTATGAAATACAAAGTTCTGTCCTAAGTGTGGGTTTAGATGGTAAATCAAAGAGGCACGATTCTTTTCTCCTATGGGGTTTAGAATCCATGGAAAGATACAGGAATTTTATTAAACACCATAATAAATACATGAACATAAAATATTCTAAGGGCTAAGAATGAAATGAACAATGAGATGTCAGGAGAAATGAATTAAACTGAGTCACTAAGAAAGCCCATCTGAGGAAATGGCATTTAAGCAGAAACTTAGGAGTCCAGGCCAAGAACAGGGAAAGGAATAATCATGTAATGGGAATAATGTACGTGAGGCATACAAGAGCTTAGACTATCCAAAGGCGGACCGAAAACCAGCTTGGCTGATGCAAGTGTGGCCCTAGGGGGTTCAAGAGTTTGACAAGTGTTACATCATCCTGAGACGCTTGGAGGTCAGGTGAAGAAATTTATATTTTATTTAATATATAAATATTAGTGCAATGAGAAGCCATCAATTGGTTTTAAGCAGGAGGGTGGCAAGATTAAAGCTGAGGCGGTTTGAAGGCAGGAAATGAATGAGTTTACTCTTACATTAATATGTTGGGTTCGGATTGTGTTTTCCATCACAAAATCGGACTTAGACATATGAACCTCACAGGAGAGTTTTGTGCTTGAGATAAAGATTTTGAATTGTCGATATATGCTCCCTGAAATCAGAGAGAATGTACAGCAATCTTCTGGAAAGATATTTCTGGAGAAACATTAGTATTTTTAGGCACAGACAGATGAAGAGGAAAAGAGGAAATTATCAAGACAGAAAAAGCGCTCATAAAGAGAACCAGGCATGTCATGAAAGCCAAGCAAGTGGATTATTTAAAAAAAAAAAAAAAAAAGGATGATCAAGCAGTGACAGCTACAATCGAGAAACTCAGTAAGATTAAAGCTGAGGGGAATTTCAGTGGAAGGCTGAGAACGAAAGCCAGTTTGCCGTGAGCTGAGATGGAATGCGAGAAGAGAACTTGGAAATGAGTGTAGATGACTGGGGAGAAATCTGAATGCAGCAGCAGAAGAGAGATTAGATAAAAGCTAGAGGAAAGGTGGAATCTTAGAAACAATTTTTTTGTTGTTAGTGTTTTAAAGACTCAGGCGTATTCACAAGGTGATGGGAAGGAGCCAAGGTTGATGGTGCAGAGGTCACAGGGGATGGGAGGCGAGGGAGTCATGCGCCCAGGTGGAGATTCTGATGTTGAAGAGCGGTGACCCTTGTCGTCTGAAACTCAAGGGGGGCCCTAAGCATGAATGTCAAGAACTATAGAGTGATGTGAGGAGGAAAATGGGAAGTTCACATGGTGAAGAAAGATTTATTCAGCTCCTATTTTATATCGATTCAGGGAGATGACTCTGAAGTGACTTAAATTAAGATCATCTTTGAGAGCAAGAAGAGTGAAGATTGAAAAGGAATTAAGGAAATTTGTGATGCTTCAGTGTGATATTGAGAGGAATGATTAAAAAGCAAAGCACAGAAAAGCAAATGTTTGAGATACGATGTTGAGATTGGAAACCATGAATTTGTAGGGACATTGACCTACTTACCTGTGTGATTATCTCCAGTGGCTCAGCCACTCATATCCAAGAGGGAGAAGGTACATTTTAACCTTCATAAAAAGACTTCAGTGAGAAGGTTCATAGCAGCTTTATTCACAATAGCCTGAAAAAGCCAACAGTGCAAATGTCCATCACCAAGAGCATGGAAAATCTAATTGTTTTTATTCGCAATAACCAAAGAGTGGTAAGAACTGAAACATACATTAACAGATCAATAAATAAACAAAATGTTATCTCTATATATTATAACACATAGGATATTAATCATCCTTAAAGGAATGAAATGCTGGTATATGACACAGATAGGATGGCCCTTGGAAACATTAGGCTAAATGGACTAGGTCAGACGCAAAAGGACAAATATTGTATGGTTCTGCTTATATAAGGTACATAGAACGGGGAAATTCATAGAGACAGAAAGTGGAATATAGGTTACGAAGGGCTGGAGTACGGCAGAGAGGGGTAGAGTAGGGAGCCGGCTAATGGGTATAGAGTTTCTGGCTGGGATGATGGAGAAGTTCTGGAAATCTGTGTAGTGCTCATGGTTGCACAAAAATGTGATTGTGGTTAATGCCACTAAAGGATACACTTAGGAATAGTTAAAATGGCAATTTTATGTTATATTTATTTTACCATATTGAAAAATACATAGCACCCTAATTTTTTTCATCTTTCCTCTTTATAAAAAAAATTTTAAGGAAGGAAAAGCTATGTAGAACAAAGAACCTAACAACATACTTGAAAACTGATTCTGAAATTATACACATTTATTTTTCCATATTGTTATTGATTTAAAAAGGGGATTAAATTACTTTGTCTCTATACTTCTGAAGAAAAAGGATAGCTAAATTCGTACTAACTTGGATAAGTTAATTAACCTCTTGAAGTATCTATTTCTTTTAATCTGTAAAATATAACAATAATCTAGCCATAGCATGGTAAACGATCATTTCAAATTGTCTTGGACGTACAGTAGGCTATTAATAATTAATATCTATATTGCTGTGGTCTTCAGGTTAACACTTGTAATAATTAAGGCTAATCTAATCTTGCAAACCAGCAGCAGGGCTCTAGTTTATATAACTCAATGCCTATTAAGGTTAATAAATAAAGCAGTGAACTAAATGTAAAAACAACCACACATCCTTAAGACCATCTGATAGATCTGATACTGGTGGGGGTGTAGAATACCACCCCAAACTAAGGCTGTCTGAACAGATTTGCATTCTAAAATCATACAGAGATGAAGTAAATTTCAACTCTAGAATCTATGCACCTTCTTAATTAGCTTCCTCACTGATGCCTACTAGTCCTATTAAATCTCACAATCAGCATGCTTCTATCCCCCGTGGTGAAAGGTACTAGGCTACCAGTAGTGAAGAGGTGAGGGAACACTAAGCGATTTTAGCAACTGCCTGAGGCAAGAAAATAACATGATTTTGTATTGAAAGACCAGATGATATTACCATTTTCTTTACAGAGATAAGTCAGAGATGAACACTGAATTGAAAAGGCATTTATTTTGTATGTTTATTTCCATTTACTCTCTCTTACAGCAAATGATTTTAAATTAACTGGGGTCACTATTCCTTTCATTCAGTTGTGATTATGGTTTTATCATATGTTGACACCATGCAAGGCATTGGACAGTTAGAAATATAAAACTGAATCCCTGGCCTCCAGAATCTCATAATTTTAGGAGGCAGACACTTATTACACAACGTGTTAGGAGTTATGATGGGGTAAACAGAGAAGTACAGCAGAGACATCTCAACAAGTCCGACAGATTTGGGAAGAATTCCTTGGAAGAGGTGATAGCTGAACCAAGAATTATAAAATGAAAAGACAATGATCGAAGAGTCAAGTTTGGGGGAATTTGGTATGGTTTTTGGAGATATGTGAGACCTGATTAACTCAGGAAATTTTAGCAAATAAATACTGGACCCTCGGGAAATATGGAGGAGCATGGGAGGTGAACTGGACAAGTGGTCTGGGGCCAGATCATGAGAGCCTTCACACGCCATGCTGAGATAGTGAGAAGTTGTACTGTGCTCATGACGCCTTAGCTAATAATCATGCAGATAACTTTTCATCTTTTATTTACGTGGAAAACAGGAAGGTATTTGCGAACAGCACATACAAGGAAGGGGATGTTTACTAGGGATTGCGAGAACTATCATACTTAGCCCTTCAGTCCCAGTCTGCACAAAGCAATTTCTACTGCCATTTCCCGGGAGTTAATGTTCATGGCAGCATAATGTCTGTGTTGTAGTCTCTGTAGCCTTTGGTTCTTACTTTTAAATACTTATCTTGGTGGAAAGACAGATAAAAAATATGTCACTGGCAAAGTCGGAATGCACTTGTACTGGGTTGAACAGAACCCTTTAAAACTCCATGTCCATACAGAACCTCAGAACGTTGCCTTATTTGGAAATAGGGCCTATGCAGATGAAATTAGTTACTGAAAGCCCATACTGTTTTTCCGTTCTTGCAATATATGTTCTCATTCTTAAATTGGAACTAATCAATCAACACTCATGTGTGCATACGGAAGTAAAACTCAACGGAAAACCAGACGGGGGGAGGTTGGAGGAGGGAATGGGTAAAATCGCACATAACAGGTACAATGCACACTATCTGGGGGACGGGCACATTAATAACGTCAACTCATACTGGACCAAAACAATTCATGTAACCAAAACATTCGTAACCCTGGAATAATCTGAAATTTAAAAAAAATAAAAGCTTATACTGGATGAATGTGGGCCCTGCATACAGTGACTGGTGTCCTTATGAGAAGCCACGTGACGACAAAGGCTGAGGTTGCAGTTGTGCTGTGGCAAACCGAGGAACACCAAGGATTGCGGGGATCCCCCGGAAGCCAGGAGAGAAACAAGGGGCAACTTTGCGGATACCTTGGTCTGGGACTTCTGGCCTCCCATACTGTGAAAGAATCAATTTCCCTTATTTAAGCCACCCAGATTGGGGTAACGTGTCCTGTCGGCCCTGGGAAACCAATACAGTAACCACAGGAAAAAATATCTAAACGACGTTAGCAATTTCTCAGGTGGCTTTTCCTAAAATTGGGATTTTGTTCATTCCAAACATCTGAAACCAGTCCTAATGGGTAGGTGAATAATTCTTAGGAGCTTCTATGGTAATTATAATTTCAAGATCATAGAAAACCATTGTTTTTCTATACTCCTCCCTACTTTTATCAAGTGTTTAGTTATTTCTTATTAAATCTTTCTTATTATTTCTTATTTCTTTTATCAAGTATTTAATTATTTCTTATTAAATCTTTCTTATTATTTCTTATTTCTTAATTAAATCTAATTTCTTAATTAAATCTTTCTTAATTATTTCTTATTTCTTATTCCCAGTGACGGCAAACACGTAATCATTTTTACAACTCATTTTTTCTGTCTCCTTAAGGTTATTTTCCTTGTCATATCTCGAGGAGCTTGATGTTTCCTACAATGAAATTACTGTTATTCCAAACCAGATCCAAAAACTCAGGTATTTTGGAAGCAGTAGGTGCATACAAAGTCATTTGCCTCTTAACAATAATATTGAGTAAGGAAGGTGATGGAGAAAATAGGGTCCTTTCATGTATTTAGAGACCGTAAAATATAATATGTGAAGCATGAAGTTCGCTAAAAATGTAATTAGAACGATTGGTGTATAGTAGTTTTAAGACGTGACATTTTCAGTAATTATTTACAGAACAGTAAGGATGACTACTTAACAAATGACAAGCTACTTTATGCCCATTTGTCTGTGGTTCTTATTAATATTTGCTTCACTTAGCTTTTGTAAGGAAATACATAAAGGCAAAATGCAAAATGCAATCATATTCAATGTATTCAATACAAAATGCAAATAGTAGTCAATGTATTATTTCAGATTTTCATTAGTACTTTCCTTTGTGTTATCTCTCTTTCATTAAAGAATATTTATGTAGCACTTAAATTTCACAAATAATTTCAATCATTCTCCTTTTATATTTAACTCTATTTCAGGATTCATTGCATATGCTGTTTTCTCTCTTTCATCTCATCCCGAGCCTGGAAATGTCTCTTTTGATTCTTTGGCTGTTTAGAGTTTTCCCTTAAGTATTTTCCTCAGATGAAATACATGAGTAATTTTTTCTCTGAGGATCTAACCTTAACAGATAAATGACATCTGTGGTGGGTGAGCAATCTGGCAGCCCTTTTCACAGTAATTTCTTTTCTTTCTTCTTCTTCTTTTATTGATTGATTAATTGATTGATGGGGGAATAGAGTCTCACTTTGCTGCCCTTGGTAGAGCATCATGGCATCATAGCTCACAGCAACCTCAAACTCTTGGGCTTCAGCAATTCTCTTGCCTCAGCTTCCCAAATAGCTGGAACTATAGGTGCCAGCCACAATGCCCAGCTATTTTTAGAGTTGGGGGTCTTGCTCTGACTCAGGCTGATCTCCATGAGCTCAGACAATCCACCCACCTCCCCGAGTTCTAGGATTACAGGTATGAGCCACCGCACCCAGCCATTGTAACTTTTATCATCACACCCTCTTCTAGCTGTCAGAGTTGCAGGTGAGACCCCTGATGTCAGTTTGATTTTTTTTCTTTGTATGTGGCTCTTATTATACCTGGAAAGTCTAAGATTCTCCATAACCCCGGATCTTCAGCAGTTTTATCAGATTATGCTTAAGAGCATGTCTTTTTCCTCTCTTAATCTTTCCTGGAATTCTGTGAACTCTTATCCAGCCAACTCAAACTCTTCTGTTTTGGTTAAAGAAATATGTTTAATTATTGGGTCTCCTCTTCTATTTCATTTTCTTTTCTAAAATGCGTGTTATTTATATGTTGGATCTCCTGGATCTGTCTTCCATGGCAATTACATTTTTCCTCATGATTTTCATTATATTTTTGCTCTGCTTGGAGTTATTTCTTATATTTTGTCACTACCTCCAATTTGATCTCCATGAAAACCATGTTAGTCTTCCATTCATCCACTTAATTTTTTAGTTTTGCAATTCATGCATTTCCGTTCCAGAATATCTTTGTGTGTGTGCCTGGTGTTTTTGAATCATATTGTTTCCCCACCTTCACTCCCAACTATTTGTTTGCGTGTTAGAGAGAGGTTCTTGCTCTGTTGCTGAGGCTAGAGTGAAGCGGTGTCATTAGAACTCACTGCAACCTCAAACTCCTGGGCTCAAGCAATGCTTTTCCTTAGCCTCCCAAGTAGCTGGGACTATAAGTGCACACCACCAAATCCAGCTGATTTTTTCTATTTTTAGTAGAGACAGGGTCTCGCTCTTACTCAGACTGGTGTTGAACTCCTGACTTCAAGTGATCCTCCTGCCCCAGCCTCCCAGAGTACTCGGATTGTAGTCATGAGCCACTGTACCCAGCCAACTTCAACTTTTTGGTCTATCTCTCCACAGAGCTTGCTTGCCTCAGAACCTACGTTCTGTGTTTTTCTCTTCTGGCCTCACTCTCTGTGGGTCCGATAGAGATCCCAGAACACCACTCAGGGTACCTAGGATGTCAGTGATGCACCAGGAGGAACTTTCTCTATTTCCTAGCATGCTGAGTGGCAAAGGCTGTCTAAACTTGGAGCCCTTTGAGCGTCAAGATTGTTTAACCTGCCACCTCCCCCCGAACTTATTCAGGGGAAGGGAGCACCTAAACTGGCAAGTTCTCCAAGATAAACCAAGTCAGGCAGGGGCAGCCTCACCTCTCGCTGGTCTGGAAACCTTCACCATCATTTCCCTGGAGTGCACCACACTCATTCTCATTGTCCACGTCGGGCTTGTGTTAGTCAGCTGGGGCCTCTATTACACATCATAGTCTGGGTGACTTCTAAACAACAGAAACTCATTCCCCACAGTTTTGGAGGCTGGAAAGTCCAATATTACTTTGCTGGCAGATTCTGTGACTGGTGAGAGTCCACTTCCTCATAGATAGCCATCCGCTCTCTCTAACCTCATATGGTGTAAGGGGCAAGGATTCTCTGTCTAGTTTCTCTTACATGAAAGAATCCTAATCCCACTCATGAGGACTCCTTCCATGACCTAGTCACCACCCAAAGTCCTCACCTTCAAATACCATCAACTTGACAGTGTGAATTTCAGCACTGGAATTTTGAGGAGACACAAATATTCAGTCCATAGTAAGTTCTCTGTTGCGTTCCCCTTGATTTTTGTTTTGTGCAGAAGAAAAAGATAACTATGTCCATCAGTTCTCCTTCAGGACCAAAGCAGAGCCTGGGGGCTTGCTCACCTTCCGGGACCACAAGAGGTGGATTAGTCAAACTATGGTTGAGGGATGAAGGTAACTGCAGTGCCATCTTCCTAGCTCTATTGTTGATCATATTTTAGCATTATCATTCATAAAGAACTTAAATTGTGTGGACAGGAGAGGTGAGTCTGGACTATAAATGAGAATCTAGAGGCTCCCAGTGGCTCATTACATGAAGCGCAAACATCAGCCTCTCCACCTGTAATGTACTTGACAAGTAGGACCAGGCTTAGATTTAATTTTTACTTGTCTGTCATTAACAGACACTTTTCTGTCTGCTCTCAGCGCTAATTAGAAAGGAGGTAAGTCTGACTGGGCACGTTGGCTCATGCCTGTAATCCTAGCACTTTGGGAGGCTGAGGCAGGAGGATTGATTGAGGTCTGGAGTTCAAGATAAAGATAAACCTGAGCAAGAGCAAGACCTTGTCTCTACCAAAAATAGAAGAAGAAAAAAAAAAGGCCAGACTTGGTGGCACATGCCTATAGTCCCTACTAGCATAGACAGCTGAGGCAGGAAGATCACTTCTGCCAAGGTGTTTGAGGCTGCAGTGAGCTACGATCACACTCCTCATTGTAGCCTGGGTGACAGAGTAAGACCCTGTCTAGAAAAAAAAAAGGAGATACGTGACCATACAAAACACCATTGAGACAAGTCAAAATGAGAAAATCAAGCTAAGGGCCGTAGCTAGGTGGTGAGAGCACCAGACCCACACACCAGGGTGGCAGGTTCAAACCTCATCTAGGCCTGATTAAGAAAAAAACATGAGAAAATCAATGATTTTGGTTCTCTTTGAATAAAGCAATAACAATTATTAGAAGCAGTTGACCCAGAAAAAACCAAGGAGACTCAGGTGATAAAAAGTTAAAGCGTAACATAGCACTTGTATGTTTTGATAGCATAAATTTTACTGTTTTGATTAGGCTTGAATGAAAACATGTGTGATGTTCAATTTCTCTATGGTAACATCTTCTTTCTGCATATCATTGTACTGTACTATATTTTAGGTACTAAACCATTCATTAGTCTAGCTGTGTTTGTGACTATTTTCCTTTTCCATAGTTATAACACATTGCAAAAACTTAAATAATGTGCTCTAACTGTGCTATTAACACAAATGTGCTTATTTACAATGATAATATTGCTTCAATTGCTTTGTAAATAAATTCTCTTGATTCCAAGGAAATAAATATGTACTTGTATTTTATTGCTACTAAGTTTGATACCAATTTTCAAGAACACTGAGGCAGATTTTTATTTCGATATTATGAATTATGTTAACTTTTTAACAAATATGGCTTTCTTTATTTTATAGGTCACTTGAAAGACTGAATGTCGATGGGAATGAACTAGGCTTTTTCCCATGCGGAATTCTGAAGCTTAGCCTGATGAAAATTCAGTTTGAGAATAATTTCACTCATCCTTGCTTTTGGAAAGAATATTCGTTGAACGATCCACAACGACTTACTCACATTGTATCTTTGTTCATTGTCAAGCATGGTCTACATAAACTTTATGAGAAGATTCCAGCAAAAATTCAGAACTTACTAAAATGGTAAGCAGATATCAAAGCTCTTTTAACTAAACACACTTTTAAGCATTTAAGATGTTCATTCCAGGTCCACATAACTATTGTACTAACACACACACTCTACACAAAACCACACACATAATTCTTCAAATTGCTACTTCCAGCTTTTCAGGTATAATAATTCAATCCCATTTTAAAAAAATATTCTCAAGTTATTACTTATACCCAATGTGAGCTGCTGAGGTGTTTTTGGCAATATCTATGTATGGTTGTCACATAAATCTTCCATTAAGTACATAGAAATGAATTCTTCCAGAAAAAAATTATTTAGTTCCAAGTACAATCTATAGGGAAATGTTTTACTCGAATAGAGTAGACCTACGTGGAGGAACTTCTCTTTCTCGAGTTTCAGTGACCACGGTGTTAGAATCATTGCCTCATCTCTAGACTAAGGTTCTTAAATCCCACATACTCACAGTTCCCTTTGGCTTGGACCTTCTTCCTTCAGATGGTACAAGACCATTTTTACTGAAGTGTTCACCATTAGTGCTTAGGTTATTAATTTAACAAATACTTTCTATATGCCCAAGTAAGATGGTGTGCCAGAAATATGTAAATTTCCAATATTAATATAAGGTAGAACACCTGAAGAAACTAGTAACTCTTAGAAAAACTGAGAAAAGTGGTTAAAAATCTGCCAGTAAAGAAAGAACCAGGCCCAGAAGTTTTTGATTTTTAGGGCATTAAGATGTCAATGTTTATGAAACTTGATTGCACACGAGAAAGAAGGAAAGATCTTCAGGGGAAAAATTTTTTTTAAAGAATTAAAACAGCCAGGCACAATGGCTCATTCCTGTAATCCTAACACTCTGGGAGGTCGAGCAAGGAGGATCACTTTAGCTCATGAGTTTGAGACCAACCTGAGCAAGAGTGGCAGGGCCTGTAGTCCCAGCTACTTGGGAGGCTGAGGCAAGAGAATCGCTTGAGCCCCAGAGTTTGAGGTGAGGTTGCTGTAAGCTATGATGCCATGGCACTCTACCAAGGGTGACAATGTGAGACTCTGTCTCAAAAAAAAGAAAGAAAGAAAGAAAGAAAGAAAAGAAAAGAAAAGAAAAGAAAACTTAACTAGTGAGGGGTAAACAGATATGGGATGATGAGATTTGGATTCTGCACAAGGTAGGGAAGCTGAACCTGAGATTGGTGAATTAAATTTGGACCCAAGAAGAGGCTAAGTGGTCCCAGAGTGGTGATCTCCCAGGAGAACAAATGATTGTGAAAGAAACATTAGACTGTAAAGATTCCCAAAAATTAAGTTCAATGAATATTGTCTGACAATTTAAAGAATCTCCAAATACATGAGGAAACAAGCCATTAAGAATAAAAGTCAGCAAAAAAAGAAAAAAAAATCAACAAATACTAATCTCTAAGGATCTACGCTATTAGCATTGTTTACAGAGTATGAAATAACTTCTTTCGGTGTTTAAGGAAATAAAATATAATTTTAAAATAATTAAGGAATAAGTATCAAATTTGACCCGGAATATATAACAGAGAAATTTTGAATGAAAGCAAATTCTAGAAACTGAAAAATGTAATAGTTGAAGTTAACTTGGTACCTGCGTTAAAAAGCAGATCGTACACACGTGAAAAGACTGATGAAAAAGTTATAATGAATATGCAGACAGGTGGGAAGAGGTGCAGAGAGACAAAAGAAGACTTAGAGACCCAGAAAGGGAGACTTAGAGACCCAGGCACAGTGGCTTCTGCCTGTAATCCTAGTGATAACAGGGTTCCCTTATTCACGTTGGACAGGGACTCCCCCATTTTCCAGTCCTGGGCAAACAGGGCTTCTCCAGATGACACTCTCTCAACACAAGCAGAATCAGAAAAAAGCAGCCTGACCAGTATCTCATCAGCGTGGCCCTTCCTAAAGTGAAAAACACACACCATGCTGCTGCTTTCCCTGGGACAGGAACTGTGAGGACCTCCTTCATTTGCTAACCAGCATGGGCAGGATGTTTTCGGTCTGCCACCTCCTGGCCAAGTGTGACACATAATCCCAAGACCCTCCCACCCCAAGCAGTGCAAGAACCCCTAGGCAGAACCCCATAAGGGGTTTCCCACTTGGGAATTCCCCTGCTCCACTGCTGAGGCTTTGTTACCTTTCTTTCTATGTCCTCTGTAAATAAACTTCGTCCTGTCACTTATTTGCATGATCAGGGTTTCATTCTTGAATCTCCACACCAGGGACGCCCAGCAGAAAGAAAAATGCTGATAACATTAGCACTTTGGGCAGCTGAGGTGGGAGGATTGCTTGAAGCCAGGAGTTCAAGAACAGCATGGGCAAGATCCCCTCTCTACAAAAAATAAAGTAGCTAGCCTTAGGTGGTGCATGTCAGTAGTCTCTGTAGTCCCAGCTACTCCAGAGGCTGAGCCAGGAGAATCACTGGAGTCCAAGTTTGAGGTAGCAGTGAGCTGTGTCTGGGCCACTGAACTCCAGACAGGATGACAGGGCAACACTTTGACTCACACATAAAAAAGTGAGAACAGAAAGAATACAAGTCATTTTTCAATGAGCTAATGGCTCTAAATTCTCAGAAGTAATGACAGATGTGAGAGCCCAACAAATGCTAAGGGAAATACCCTGGGGGAAAACTGAAGAACACCAAAGACAAAGATGAAAACTTACAACAAGTTAGGAAAATTAATCACTTACAGAAAACAACAAATCAACTACCAGCAACAATGGAACGACAAGTGAAAAAATATTTTTCCCAGCAAAAGTAACTTCCAAGAACAAGATAAAGAATGATATTTTCAGAGAAACGAAAACACAGAATTGACCCTCAATAGATTTTCACTAAAGAAGACTGCAAAGAATTTGCATCAGAGAAAAGGAAAATGATACCAGAAACAATTTTGTTTGTTGTTATTGTTTAATTCCAGATTAATATGTGGGTACAAATGATTAGGTTACAGTGTTTGCATTTGTTAGGTAAAGGTCAAGTTGTAGTTGAGCTCTTCACCCAGGTGGTGCGCTATACACCCTTACATTGTGCCCTTCAGGTGAGAGTTTACCAATTCCCCACCCTCCCTCCTCCCCTCTCCCCCCTTGAATTTAATTATTTTTCACTCGTGTGGGTGTGTAATTGTTTATCTATTGGTTACATATTAGTATTGCATACATTGGATACTTGCTTTTCCATTCTTGTGATACTTTACTAAGAAGAATATTCTTCAACTCCATCTAGGTTAATACAAAATATGTAAAGTCTCCATCTTTTTTGTGTCTGAATAGTATTCTGTGGTGTACACATACCACAGTTTATTAATCGGTTCACCAGTTACTGGGCACTTGGGTTGATTTCATGTCTTAGTGATTGTGAATTGAGCTGTGATGAACATTCTAGTACAAATGTTCTTATAGTAAAATGATTTTTACAGGTGCTGCCCAAAGATATTTTTATGATAGGAAAAGAAACACAATATGCCTAGGAATGTATCAAGGAAAATATATGCAAAATATTTAACTTAAAACGATTAAAGGGGTAGTGCCTGTGGCTCAAAGGAGTAGGGCGCCGGCCCCATCTACTGGAGGTGGCAGGTTCAAACCCACCTCCAGCCCAAAATTCCAGAATTAAAAAAAAAAAATCAAAGCTTTATAAAAAAGAAAAGAAGGCTGAGTTAAGTGACACATATACACATGCAGAGATAATAAGGTTTCGTAGTAAAAATATATCAGTTCCCCCTAAATAGAGCTAAATTCAATGCAATTAGGATAAAAATCCCAATATTATTTTCTGAGGAACTTAATAAGCTATTCTAATTGTACATGGAAAAGCTGAGGCTCCCAAATAGCCGGGACAAACCTGAAAAGGAAGCCTAATGTAAGTAACTTGCCTAGGAAACATCAAGGCTTATCATAATAAATAATGAAATAAAAAATTTTAAAACCTAAATAAATTAATTTTTAAAAGTCTTATTATAAAGTCAGAGAAAGCAGTACAGGTTGGTGTTAGGTGTAAGGAAAGATAAATTGACCAATGGAACTGAAAGCATATTCCGGGGATATGTTCTTACGCAGATGGGGAAGCTTGGGATTTGAAAAAACAACACTGTGGCTTAATAGAAAAGGGATAGACTTTTCAATAAATGGTGCTGAGACATTTGGTCATTCACAATCTAATCATAAAATTAGATTCCTGCTATGTGTTTGCCACCAGCATATGAAATTATTTCCATTTGGAGTAAAGATTTAAAAAAGAAAAGCAAAATTTCAAAGCTTTGACAAGCAAGTGTAGAAAACTATCTGTATAATTTTGTGGTAGTGAAAGTTGTACACCAACCACAAAAAATATATGCTGTAAACTATGTGTGATAAATTTGCCAAAAGAGTAATATTTCCATAAATATAAGATCCCAGCAATGAAGTTAAAAGGTGAGCCATTATCTGGAAGAAGATATTTCAATCTTTATAATAATTGGAAAACATATATACAGTCAACATATATCCACAGATACGTGGGATGTGTTCCAAGACCGCTAATGGATGCCTGAAACCTCAAATAGTACTAAATGAAGTTGAATTTCTAAATTAGGAGTGGTAAGAGATTAACAAAAATAAACATAATAAAACAGGACAATTATAACAATTTGCCAGTATCTCTCCTCTTGCACTTTGGGGCCACTGTTAAGTAAAATAAAAGTTACTTGAACCCAAGTACAGTGGTAGCACAATGATCTTGTAACTGAGAGTGTTACTCAGTGACTGACAGGCAGACAGAGTCTACAGTGTGTGTGAAGACCCTGAACAAAGACATCGTTCCTGTCCTAGGTGGGAAATTCAAAACTCATGAATTGTTTGTTTCTGGGATTTTCCACTGAATATTTTTGGACTGAGGTTGACCATGGAAAACTGAGACTGTAAAAAGCAAAAGCTCTTCCAAAACTCGGTAAGAAAAGATACAACCCATAGACAAGTGGATAAGTGATAGGAGAATGCAGTTTATGAATGACGTGGTGAACACGAAGGATGTTAAATCTCACATTGTAATTATGTAAAATTTGGAAAATAAAAAAATAATTATAACAAAATTTAAAATTCCCTATTGTCACATTTCCTGAGGATAATAACTATTTTCAGTTTGAGATCTATCCTTACAATCTTTTTATTTTTTTATTTTTTATTTCTTATAGCATAACTGTGTACATTAATGCAATCATGGGATACAGTGTGCTGTTTTCATATACCTTTTGAAATACTCTCATCAAACTGGTTAACATAACCTTCATGTCATTTTCTTAGTTATTGAGTTAAGACATTCATCCTCTGCTTTTAGAAAGATTCACTTGTACCCTTGTAAGATTAACCATAGAGGTGACCCCACCAATCACCCTCCCTCCCCCCCCACATCCACCCCCCACAATCTTTTCTTTGGATGCACGTATGTATACTTTTTGTTTTACAAAACTAGGACTGTATACATATCTATTTTATCGTTTAGCTCTTTTAACGTTTAATTTTTCACTCAATGGTAAGTAGCTCATCTAGATGGTAAGCTCAATGAAGGTAAATGCCATATTTTATACTACTTTGAGTCTTGGATTGCATCAAGCACAATGTCCTTAGTAGAAATTTATGAAACACTGACTTGCTGTTTCCCTCATTTTAGGACATCCAGGTGTGAATGGTGCCATGGTCCCAAGTTTGGTGAAGGTTTTCATATCATCCATTCCTATGATATTTTTGGAGCAGCACAACTTCCTGTTATGTTCTATGTCTGTTCTTCTTTTTGTTACCGAGCAGTAAGTGGAAGCCATTTTTAGAAAGCATTCCTAGTAAAAGATAGTTCTGAATTTGTAGCTGACAAAAGCATGAGAGAACAGTGATTTATCATTCCCACTACAAAAGCCAATAATGTTTATGTACATAGTAGTTCATCTCTTTCAGAGTACAGGTTCTGTATGGAAGACACAATCATCTTCTCACATGAGTTTTCTTTATAATCCTGGCTCCTTAAGAAAGTTTGTGACTGTTACACAACTGTTACAGAATAATTACTCAAGAAGGATTAGTAAAGGCCTGTGGATATGAATAAAGATTAAGAGGTTTCTTTCAGAGCCTGTTCACTGTGAAAAGAAGAATGTTGGAAACCTTTGCAAAAAAGCGATAATATCTAACAACTGATCTTTTCATGCATCCGTAGTAAACAACAATATAGCATTTCAAAGTTATCAGTGGGGTTTGGGCTGCAAATGTCTTCAGAGTCATCCATCCAAGTACTTAATGTTTGTGCATTTCCATGGAAATCCGTCCATTCCCTACTGTCTCAATTGTGGATTATGTGGGGGAAATAAATATTAATTCCAGCTCCATTTTTAGTTGTTTGAATTCATTTCCCCAATTCTTAGATAACTGGTATAATCTCTAACAGTTACCTGGACCCTGACCTATATCTCATTACACCCAGACACAGGGCATCAGCCTGATTTTATATGCTGGCACCAGTAATGTCCAAGGTAATAGCCAGACAAGAAAAATAGAGTAGGACTTACAAAGACGCACATGCCCATAGCAGAACTTAACAGCTTTAAGAATTAGCATCTTGGAGGAGAAAGGTAAAAAAGGATTTTAATAAATAATTCTATATTTTGGCTGCTCTCCACAGTGTTCACCTGGCCAAAGGGTTCAGAGTTTAGTCAGAAGCAGGAATAGAAGCCACCACGGGCATGCAGAGGGGAGGTGCGCGATGAGGATAATGAAACACTGGAAGATGGCATCTTTGTTCCTGTTCTCATGACTGTTAAGGGGCAGATTGAGGTGCACAAGTTAAACACCCAACCTAAGGTCACCTGACCAAGCAAGGGTACAGTGAATCTTGAGGTCACTGAATCCTGATATGGATGTGTTCCTCAAACACCTGTCTCTTCCCACCAGTTCCATAAGTACTCGTGGAACCTACACAAGTTGTTGGCGTGGGACTGAGGATGAGGAGGGGCTTTCTAAGCAAAGTGTTTCTGTAGAGTGTGGAAAATTGTTTAGCAACAAGCCTAACCTCATTAAACATTAAAAAGTACACACTGGAGAAAGACTTTTTGGGTGTGCTGAAGGTGGTGAATCTTTGGGACGAAAGCTCCAGTCTCATTCAATACCAGAGGGTTCACACTAGCTAAATAAAGGACTTTTCAATATGATAAATATGAGAAAGTCTTTAGCCAAAGATACAGCCAATTCATACTGGAACAGGCCATATGAATGTGAATGTGGCAAAGGTCTGTTAGCCAAAGATCTGTTTTCATTCAATTATCTGGAGTTCACCCAAGAGAAAGGATTTAAAACAACAAGGAAGGTGCTATTTAAAACAACAAGGAAGGTGGAGGAGAACTTGGGAAGGTAGCTGTCTATCTGAATTGAATGTTTACCTGAACATACATATTGGGGTGATTTCTCATAAGTTTCTGCTATTTGGGAAACTTTAAGGAGCTGCATCATACTTTCTAACTTGCACAGGGCTCACTAGATTTTTGTCCTTCCAGTTCCTGTAACAGACAACATTTCACCTTGACACCTATCAGGTCCTTGTAGTATGCATCAGTCACCACCCAAGCATGCTCAGGAAGGCAGACTTTGTGCTCTCCATTTGCTGATGGAAGTTATCAGTAATTGGAATCCCCAGGGGATCCTCATTGCCCTCTCTCTGACTAGTTAGGGAATGGACATGACCCAGTTTGAGCCCAATACACCCAATCTGAGTTACAATGGTGTGTCTTGCAGAGAAAGACTGAATTTCTTAGCAATGTTCCTGGTCTTGTGTGATGCTATGATAAATGCTCTTAACTTCCAAGTCATCAACCCAGAAATTGTGTGTGGTGAATTGCTCAGGTGTGTGCAACAATTCCTTTTTCTGTAATTCTTTTTAATTTGGGGTGTTCTTTCTATTCTTGCAGTGAAGTACTTTGAAAGCAGATTGGGCCCTGGCAGCATGAAGGGGTGAAAGTTGTTTTAGATCCCCAACTTTGTGTGCCTCACAGAATACAATATAATGGCAATAAACACAATGTCTTTCCAGTTGTGACCTGGTGATCCAAAGCCTAGGTTATGGGCTGAGTTGTGTTGCCCCAAAGTTCACAAGTTGAGAAACCCCCACTAGTTCCAATTGGGGCTATTCATTTGGATATAGGGTATTTCTTTTTTTTTTTTTTTTGAGACAGAGCCTCAAGCTGTCCCCCTGGGTAGAGTACTATGGCATTACAGCTCACAGCAACCTCCAACTCCTGGGCTCAAGCGAGTCTCCTGCCTCCGCCTCCCAAGTAGCTGGGACCACAGGCGCCCGCCACAACGCCCGCTATTTTTTTTTTTTTTTTTGGTTGCAGCCATCATTGTTGTTTGGCGGGTCCGGGCTGGGGATTCGAACCTGCCACCTTAGGTGTATGTGGCTGGCACCTTAGCTGGTTGAGCCACAGGCGCCGAGCCGGATATAGGGTATTTCAAAGGATAATTAATTTAAAATGAAGTCATAAGGGTTGGCGTTTACACAAAAGCACTGATGTTATAATGAGAGAGTATACAGATAACACATACAGGGAAGATTGTGTACAGATGTGGGGAGAAGATGGCCATCTGTAGACCAAGGAAAGAGAATTTAATTTTCCAGCACATTCAAATAAGGATTCATTAAAGTAAAAAAAATTTTTTGCAAGTAAAATTTTAGAATGGCATAGACTTTTTTCACATATGGCCTGTTTTTTATCTGAGGTTAACTTAAATCTAAAATAGCATTGCCAAGTAAATTTAATGAAATGAAGTGATTTAAATTTATACATCTATTTTATCATTAGAGAATTTCGGAAATAGTACATTATGTCAGGTTTATGCACATAACTTCATGATATCATTTAAATTAAAGATACATCAGGCAAAATCATTTTTCTGACTATTGATTTCAATAAATTGGGATACTTACATGCTCTTCCTTGAGACTTAGTTTCATTTTAAGCAGAAATAAGCAAACTTTGCTTGACAAGAATATACTGTATTCTCTAGCACAATAATAAATTGTTTATAATAGAAGTAACTACCATATCACATATGTAATATAAAAGGTGATATTTATAGCATGATAATAAACTAATTTATTAAAAATATAATATGCTCACAATTATAAAACAGGATAAAAGATAAAATTAACTCTGAGTGGCATATAGACTATTAAGACTCATCTTAGTGAGTGGCGCCTGTGGCTCCAAGGGATAGAGCTCCAGTCCCATATGCTGGAGGTGGTGGGTTCAAACCCAGCCCTGGCCAAAAAAAAAAAGACTCATCTTTGTTCCTGAAATATTTCTGGGGGGGGGAAGAAATGTAGTTTATTCATTCAAAAAATATTTATTTGGGTTGAGTGATTGGGTGGTATCATATTGAAATAGGGAATAAACAAGAAAGAATAGGTTTTAAAGGAAATCACACTAACTTAAAGATGTTTAAAAAACAAATAAACCTGTATGTTTGGACTGATATGAAACTTACTTATAGCCAAATCTCAACACAGGTCATATAAACCTTGAATCGTAGTAATTGCTTACAAATTTTTTAAAAATAATTTGTAGCATATTTTTTGATATGAAAGTGAAATTTATTTCTTATAGAAATATTAGAAAATACAATTAAACCTAAGAAGAAACGACCTGCTCCCCATAATGTCACCACCTAATGAAAGTCAGACAGAATCATTTTGAGGGGGTACAAATTTTTCTGAAACATGGATCACTTTCATAATACTTGACAGCTATAATCGTGCCCATCTCCTGAACACAAACAGTGTTCATTGTATCCATTAGGTAGGTTTTTGGCCCTTCCCTCCACCAATGAGTTTTTTTTTTCCCTCTGTCCACATGTGTGCTCATCAGTTAGTTCCAATAGTGAGTATATGTGGTGTTTGTTTTTCCATTCTTGAGATACTTTGCTTAGGATAATCTTCTCTAGTTCCATCCAAATGGCTGAAAAAGGCGTTAATTCATCCCTTTTATGGCTGAATAGCACTCTATGATATACATTTACCACATTTTGTTAATCCACTCATGAGTTGATAGACACTTGGGTTGATTCCACATCTTTGCAATTATGAATTGTGCTACAATAATCATTTAAGGGTGAGTGTCTTTTTATTGAAATGACTTCTTTTCCTTTGAGTAGGTATCAGAAGTAGGATTGCTAGATGGAATGGTAGATTTACTTTTAGTTTATGAGTAATCTGTTTTTCAAACAGTATGGAGATTACGCATAAACTCTATTTTATTGTACCAATACCCTGCTGTTTTGGTCACTGTAGCCTTATAGTATAAAGTCTGGTAATGTATTGCCTCCAGATTTTTTCTTTTTACTTAAGATTGCTTTGGCTATTTGTGCTCTTTTGTGGTTCCAAATGAAGCATAGAATTATTTTTTCTAGGACTGTGAAACATGATGTTGATATTTTGATGGGGATTACGTTGAAGCTGTAAATTACTTTGGGTAGTATGGATATTTTAACAATGTTTGTTCTACCAATCCATGAGCATGATATGTTTTTCCATTTGTTTGTACCCTCTATATTTCTTTCCTTGATGTTTCATCATTCCCCTTGTACAGATTTTTTACTTCCTTGGTTAAGTACATTTCTAGGCATTTTATTTTCTTTGTAGCTATTGTGAATGGTATTGCATTTTTTATTTGACTCTGAGCTTGATGGTTATTGGTACATAGAAATGCTACTGATTTGAGTACCTTGATTATATAAACTGAGATTTATTGATTGATTGATTGATTTATCAATTCCAGAAGTCTCTTAGACTCCTTGGGCTTTCTTGGTATAAGATTATATAATCAGGGAAAAAAGATAGCAATCTTGCCCGATTGCTCTGACTAAGCAGTTCAGCACTCTTTGGAATAGCAGAGGTGACTGTGTACCCTTGTCTTGTTCTAGTTCTTAGGGGGAGTGCTTTCAACTTTTCCTCATTCATTATGATGTTGGCTGTGGGTTTTCAATATATAGCTTTTAAATTTTTGAGAGCTATTCTTTCTATGCCAAGGATTTTTTTTTTTTTTATCATGAATGGGTGCTGAATTTTGTCAGATGCTTTTTCTGCATCTACTGAGATCATATATGGTCTTGGTTTTTGCTTCTGGTTATGCAGTAAATCACATTTATTGATTTACATATGTTGAACCATCCTTGCATTCCTGGAATGAAGACCATTTTGTCATGGTGGATTATTCATTTAATGTACTGTTGAATTTAGTTTGCTAGTATTTTGTTGAAGACTTTTGCATCTATATTCCTAAGGTATATTGGTCTGTAGTTTTATTGTTGTATCCTTTTCTGACTTTGGTATAAAGGTGATACTGGCTTCATAGAAGAAGTAGGGAGAATTCTTTTCTTCTCAACATTCTGGAATAATTTTTATAGTGTAGGTACCAGCTCATCTTTGTAGTTCTGGTTAATTTGGCTATGAATCTGTTTGGTCTGGTGATTTTTTTCTTGGAAGATTTTTTTATATATATAACTGTTATTGTTATTGATCTGTTCAGGAATTCTATTTCTTCCCAACTGAATTTTGGAAGTTTGTGTGTTTCTACAAGTTTTTCCATTTCCTACACATTTTCTAATTTATATGCATAGAGATTTTCATAGTATTCACAGATAATATTTTGTATTTCTGTGGAGTCAGCTCTAATGTCTCCTATTTCATTTCTGATTGAGCTTATTTGGGTTCTTTCTTTTCTATTCCTATTGTAGCAAAAGATCTTTTGATTTTATCTTTTCAAAGAACCAATTTTTGTTGCATTGATTTGTTGTATTTTTTGGTTGGTTTTCCAATTCATTTAGTTCTGCTCTGAACTTTGTTATTCTTTTCTTCTTCTGACTTTAGGTTTGATTTGCTCTTCCTTTTCTAGTTCCTTGAGATATAACAATTTGTGATTCTTCTGTATTTTTTTTTTAGGATACATTAA